TGACAAGGGAAAGCGCAATTGGAGACATAATATTTGGGCTGCATGCAGGTGATGTTTGTGAAGGCTTGTTATTGCACTGTTCTTGTTATATAGTCCCTTGAGCTCTCTGTGTCTGGTGTGAATTAATAATTAGGCCCTTAAAGACATGACTGTTGCGCAAAAATTGCATGCCTAGAGAAGTTGATAGAGATTTATGTCTAGCTGGACGGTGTGATATGAGAATTTTGATGCATAAAAATATATGCTTGACATGCTTGTGCTTGTTTGGAACCTAGCTACCTACCTTTTTCAAATTACTTCAATTTGGGCATATATTTGCCAACCCAATGAACGATCTGACAGAACCCGAATTCCTATCAAGTTGGGTTCGGGTCTGTTAAGTTGGATTATTAGGTTAACGTGTTTGCTACTTTAATACGTGTCAAGTTGTTTATGGGTCGTATTAGATTTGAGAAAATGTTGTATAAGGTCATTATATAGGGAGTAATTTATGCATGTACTGAGTACACTATGTGGTTGGTGTATGAAGGATTGAAATAACAATTTTGGGGACATGATTTGGAATTTTAATAACAATTTTGAACACCTTTTCTAATTGGCTTCAAATTTTTTATTTTAAAAAAAAAAGGTATTTGACATCATAATTATCAAGAATTGTTTGTTTTTATACAAGTTTTTTTTTTTTTTGGGGGGCTCAGAATTGTGTTTATACAAGCTATATATATATATTGGTGAATGAAGGATTGAAATACATGAAGGCTACAAGAGCATTGCATTACCCCAATACATTGCCTAATTGAAGAAACATAAAATGAGAGGAACCAAAATTGAAATCAAAGCATAGCAAAGAGAATGATTTCCCACTAGGCCAAACTCAAATAATTCGGTAGAATATTTTAACATTTTCATAATAGATTTTTTTTTGGTTGAGAAAATTCTAATAAATTATGACTATTCCTATTAAACATTTCTTTTATTATGAAGGTTGAGATAAAATTTAAAAAGAAACAAAAACACCAAACGCTCTTACTATTATTCTAGTTAGTCGTTTACCATTTTTAATTTAGGGTTTTAGTTTATATAACATGTTATACAAATATCCAAATACTAGACAGTTGTCTTTTTTTAATTGGTTCTTAATAGTGTCTTGCCCGGGTAAGTCAATGGTTTAACCTTCCTTCCCCAACACCACACCGTCCTCATGACTCACCGTCTAACTCTATCCATAACAACAAAACCACACTTTCTCGAGGAAAAGACACTCTCAGATTCCCGCAATTTCTCAGCCCCACAAAAACCCATGGCGCCAAAATCCTTCAACCCCAAAACCCAAACCTACTCCTCCCCCCGACCTCCCGCCCCCTTCCCCACAGACCCCAACCTCTCCCTCACCTCCTTCCTCTTCCAATCCTCCACCTCCTTCCCCAACAACCTTGCCCTCGCCGACTCAGACACCGCCGAAACTCTAACCTTCCTCCAGCTCAAATCTCTAGTCTCCAAGCTCGCTCACTCCTTGCTCAACCTCAACATCAAGAAAAACGACGTCGTCCTCATCTTCGCCCCCAACTCCATCCACTTCCCCGTCTGCTTCTTCTCAATCGTCGCAATCGGTGCCATTGCCACCACCTGCAATCCTCAGTACACCGTCTCCGAGCTCTCAAGTCAAGTCAACGACTGTGACCCCAAGCTCGTCATCACCGTCTCCGAACTCTGGCCTAAGATCAAGGGCTTCAATCTCCCGACGATACTAGTAGGATCTTCAATCGGGGATCCAAATCCCAGAGTACGTTACTTTTCCGATTTGGTCAAAATTTCGGAGGATCCGGATCCGATTTCAAATTTACCGGCGATTAGTGTGAAGCAGAGTGACGTGGCGGCGCTGCTTTACTCGTCCGGGACGACGGGGAAGAGCAAGGGAGTGATTCTGACGCATCGGAACTTCATTACGACGTCGTTGATGGTGACGGCGGATCAGGACCGGTACGGCGAGCCGAGAAACGTGTTCTTGTGCATCGTCCCGATGTTTCACATATTCGGGCTCTCGGTGATCGCGTACTCGCAGCTGCGGCGAGGAAACGCCGTCGTTTCGATGGCGAAGTTTGAGATCGACAGGGCGCTGAAGGCGGTTGAGAAGTACAGGGTCACTCATTTGTTCGTCGTTCCGCCGGTGATGATCGCGCTGGCGAAGCAGAGCGTTGTGGAGAAGTACGACTTGTCGTCGCTTGAGTTCATCGCGTCTGGCGCGGCGCCGCTGGGGAAGGATTTGATGGAGGAGTGCGCCAAGAATATTCCACAGGCTGTCGTTGGTCAGGTAAATTGGATAAAAAAGGACTCCTCCGTCAATAACACATGATAATATTTTTGTTTGTATTCATGACTAATTTTTAATTAACATATTAATTCTTCATTATTGTGTTATTTAACGTTTAGTAGCTCCCCTTGACCTTGTTTGAAAACGTTGAGTTCAAGTCGGTCTTTATTAAATTGAAAACGTTGTTTAATTTAATAAATTCAGTCTTAGCATTTATAAGATCACCAAACATCGGTTATTTAATTGAAACAGTTTAGTCCAGTTGGAGCCACCAAATATGCCCAGAATTGTTTATTGAAAATCATGTTGTGGATGGTGGCAGGGTTATGGTTTGACAGAAACTTGCGGGATTGTTTCACTAGAGAATTTCAGAGAAGGATCTCGATTTTCTGGATCAAGCGGCATTCTTGCTCCAGGAATAGAGTCCCAGATAGTTAGTACAGATACCCTCAAGTCTCTTCCACCTAATCAGTTGGGAGAAATATTGGTCAGAGGACCCAATATGATGCAAGGTTGACCTAACATATATATCTTGACCGTCTACATTTATTTTGTTATTTCAATGTTGCATCCGTAACAATAAATTGCTTAACTATTTCAGGTTATTATAATAATCCAGAAGCCACAAAGTTGACTAAAGATGAACAAGGTTGGGTGCACACTGGAGACCTTGGATATTTTGATGAGGAGGGGCAGTTGTTTGTTGTGGATCGAATTAAAGAGCTCATCAAGTGTTACAGTTTTCAGGTAACATAATTATATATCGGTATTCTTTTAATCTTACTCAAAATATTTCATGGTGGATGTGGATTATGCCAGTTAATCAAGACAGCGTATTCGATCCCCTCCCTGTACGTTAAGAGTAATTTAGAATAACGCTTTTTGTAAAAATAAATGTGTATATATACGTACCTTCATGAAACTACTTGACTGTATGCAAGGTGGCCCCTGCGGAACTTGAAGGGCTGTTGCTTTCTCACCCTGAAATATTGGATGCTGTTGTGATCCCGTAAGCAATTATTGCACTATTTCAGCTGCCATAACTTTGAAATACTACTTCATGAGATTTGACCCAGAATTTCCTGCTGCAGATATCCTGATGAGAAAGCTGGTGAGGTTCCAGTTGCATATGTTGTTCGTGCACCCAACAGCTCGATAACCCAGCAAGACATTCAGAAATTCATTGACAAGCAGGTAAGGTGGCAGGCAGCTAAGCGTATTTACAACAGTTATCAGAAAAGAGATTTTAGCAGTTTTCTTGATATTTGATGGCTTCCTTCCTTTTCCCTCCGCAGGTTGCACCTTTCAAAAGATTGCGGAGAGTAACTTTTATAAACAGTGTGCCAAAGTCTGCTGCAGGAAAGATTTTGAGAAGGGAGTTTATTCAGAAAGTTCGGTCCAAAATATAATAATTAAGATAATTATACCATATGTACTAATTTCCCTCATTTATTGCTTTCTTCCACTGTAATTGTTTTTTTTAATTAAAAAAAAGTACTAGATAAAGTTCAAGAGAAGAGAACAAAGAAATATATAGAGAACAAGAAAATAGAACAAAGAAATGTGAGAAAATCAATGAAAATTACTAAATAAAGTTCAAGTTTGTGTTTTAATGTACTCTTGTTTTCTATCTCTCTCTATTATATGATGAGAGAGATGAAAAGAGAACAACATAATATATGGGAGTTTCTCTCGCATTTGTTGGCGATGACAATCACAACAACGCTAGCTTGGCTCAAATTTTAGTTCATAGAATTCTGTAATGGATTGAATGATCCAGCTTAGAGTCTAGTCAATTGATTAATTTGTCACCATTTGCAACTTGATCGGCGACCATTTTCAGCTCATGCTTTTGATGTAAGACTAAAATTGTTATATACTTTGAGCTCTACTAGCATATTGCACTAGTGTGCTAAAAGGGTCTAACTCAGTGGAAAATGTCTTGACTTGTAAATCAAAAAGCTCAAATTCAAATCGTCATGGCATCATAGTTGTGTGTGTATGATAAATCATTCTCTCATGTAGTTTAGACTATCGCTTATACTAAAATAAATAAATAAATAAATTGCACTAGTGCATAGTCTTTGTATTTATTTTTAGGCTTAAGTGTTACAGTGCTCCTTGAAACATTGATCAATTCCCACTAAACCGTCTTAAAGTTAAAGTGACCCATTTTTCCCTCTTGGCCAAGATTTCGTGTGTCACTTAACCATTTTCCGTAAGCGCCATCCCAAGTTCCATTAAAATGATGACGTGGCAGGGGTATATTGGTCAATTCAGCTGAGCTGGAATTTTTCTCACCAATCTAAGGTTGTGATGTTTACTTATGGACCCCACCTCTAACAACAAAGAAGATAAAACATGAAATTGATCTTATCTGCTTGGCGCGTGACAGGACCCGACCCTAAAAAGTCGACGGAAGTGGCTAGAATCGGAAGGCGAAACCGGTCAAAACATCTATTGCTTATTTAACCTCCAAAACGCAGAAATTTCTCCTAAATACCTCAACCAGTAGCTAGAACACCTTGAGAGGATGAGAAAGCATATGTAATAACCCAATCCTAAAGTAATTTTTAATTAATAAAATATTCAAATAAAAGACGATTTTACTCTGGGAATATTTTAATGGTTTAAAAGTTGACTTTTTGTTCGGGAACGAATTTGTGAATTTCAGTTGAACCGTTGCGTAGAGCACGTTGAGATGAGTCCGTAGACACGTAGTAAGCTCAAATAAGAGTTGTAACGAGAAAATGACGATCAAAATAAAATAAGGGGCATAACCGTAATTTTTTTGAAGTTGGTTTTTAATAAATCAGAAACTTCTCTCTCTCTCTCTCATGCGTCGCAGCTCCCTCCCCTTCAATTTTTTTTTTTTTTTTTTTTCAAACAGCTAGTGACTTCCAAGAGCCACCACCGCAGCTACACACAACCTCTTTGAATGTTTGTCCACTACCCTCCGGCTTCAATGGAAGAGGTCATTTGTATTTTTGCACAAATGTAATCTTGTAGTAGAAAATTTGGTGTGGAAAATAAAAAATATTAGAATGAGAAGAAATGGTATGAAGATTTGGTGTGGAAAGTGAATAAAATTGTTAGGTATTTATAGGGAAAAAATTCAGAATTTTTTGGTATTTTTTAGATTTTTTTTAGCCAAAAAAACGAGGACCGTCGAATTTCTGGAAAAAAAAATCGATCGGAGCGTCAGGGGTGCAACACATGGCGCATACTTGTTGGATTCTATCAGGGATGACGTCAGAGCTGACAACATCAAGCGGAAGTCAAATTTTCACGCGCCACAAATTTTCACGCACCAACGATAAAAAAAATTTGAATTACCGCTCGATGACGTCAACGTGATGTCACCGTCCTTGGGCTTAAACCTAGGCGAAACTTGCCTTTTTGGCTTGCCCGGACTGGTGGGACCCATTGATTGCCTGGCCCTCTTCTCCCGTGCTGGAGCTGGATTGGGCTTGCCCGGGGGGGCCTTATGCCCGTTTCATAGCAGCACTGGAGCTGCTCTTAAAAATTGCAACTCCAAGGTATTTTCAGAGTGTCAGATGGCAGTCAGTCTATTGTATTTTAGCTAAAAAAGGAGCTGACGCACAACCTAGTTCATTTATTAAACTCAAAGCCAACCCACCTCTTTTTTAATGCTCCCTTCTCTGAATTCTCAGTGTCTCTGAACACAGTGGCTCAACTTTATGCTTTAGAGAAAACAACGAATATAACATACATTTGAGGAAGTGACACGTCTAGGGACCATGGAGCCTCCAATCTGAACGAGCCCGTCAGTAGTGAACAATGTGACTCTCTCCTCAGCAACCCATTCAATTTCTGTCAAACACCCAAAAATATTAAAATGAAACCCAGAAGATCAAACAGTAAAACAGTGAAAGAACACATACAATGCGAATTGTTAAATTAATAACCCAATTGCTTGGAAATGATATTTTATTATTTATATATGAACATGATGTAAAGAAGGGTACCTACCGGAGTCCTTGGACCAAGGAAAGAAGCCGAAGAGATCGTCGGGTAAGGAATTGGACGAATCGGAGGAGGAAGTGGCGCGAAACCGGATAAGGCGAGAGGGGTAAGGATGGGAATTTGGGAGGGAAAGCCGCGGAGAGAGAAGAGAAAGATGAGTCCTTGGCGCGAGAGAAAGAGGGGAAGGAAGAGAAGGGTGAGAAGCAAAGAGCAGCCGAGGTTTCAGCCATTGAAGAGAGGAAATTGCAGAGAGAGAAACGGAGAAGGAAAGAAGGAAATGACACGAAAGAAGGAAAAAGGAGAGGGAAAGGAGGCGAGTTTGACGCCACATGTGGTGGATGGTCACGTGTAACAACCGGACGTTTCATTAGTTGCTAACTTGTTAACATGCCACATTGTTAGACAGGAAGGAAGTTTCAAAGTTCAAAACTCGATCTCATCGTCACGTGCGTATTAATATGTCACGTGTTTAATCTCTTTTCCATAATTTACAATTTTATTGAAGCTAATATTACTGTATTAGTAGCATAGATTCTGCAAGAGGGATTGAAACCTTATTCTAATGTGGAAGGGTTGAGAATCTGAGATGAAGTTTGTTGGATCTATTCAATAACGACGGGCATCGTCGTCATTGTGATGGGGTTATTATTTGGATTGATATGGTTAACTTGTTTATTAATCCTAAGCATGATTGTGTTTTTGCCCTTGCTTTGATGGACCCTAAATTAACACAACTTTTTAATATATGTATGACTTATTGTTGTCGAAATAATGAGACAATATATATCAATACAAGGAGACTATTTTCTCTAAAAATTCTAAATCCTCTCACATTACAACCAAACCACGTTAAACAACCGTTTTAGATTAAGGAGCCTAGCCATGCTATATCACATTCACAACTAACCCTCAAACTCCATGAATCATGGAGGAAGGAGAGGGGCAAGAAAACATACAGATAGCAGCTCTAAGAAAGAAGCTCATAAGCTTATATTATTTCATCACAGTATAACCTCAAAGCTCAATCTAGTATCTTAGTAGGCCTAGCGACATCTCAGCCCACAGTTATATTGGGTACACAGAGGCAGGCAAGCGAGGTTTGGCTTGTGCAAGCAGAGAGCTAGCCTTCTTCAAGTAAATCTGATCCTCAGTGAAGTCAATCTTGTCCACATCTGGCGGCAAGCTCCATGAAAACCCTTGCAGGAGCCTTGCAAGGAGCATCACAACTATGGTGGAGCCGAGCCCAACTCCCATGCAGCCTCTCCTTCCAGTAGAGAAGGAAACGAACCTCAGGTCAGTCTCTTCCAGGTCAACTTGTTGGTCAACAGCTCTATTCAGATGGCGTTCTGGGTTGAATCTCAATGGCTCTTCCCACACTCTAGCGTTGCGCCCAAGCTCTAAGCGGCTTAAGATGACATTGCTGCCCTTTGGGATGAAGTAGCCTGCCACTTCAGCATCTGCGATGGACACGTGGGGGAGGTTGAATGGTCCAACTGGATGCAACCTCATAACTTCTTTTGCACATGCCCTTATGTAAGGGAGGTGAGGGACATGGGATTCTTGAAAAAGAGTCTTTTTTCCCACTACCCTATCTAGTTCCTCTTCTGCCTTTTTTAGCATCTCAGGTTGGTTGAGCATTTCTGTTAGAGCCCACTCTGCTACATTGAATGGACTGTCCACTGTTGAGAGCTGCAGCTCCTGATCATCCACAATATATTTATGATTTGTTGGGTAATTTTTCATTTATTTTTGTACTAATTAATATTTATGTTTAACATCATCCGAAAATTCATTTTAGGTTCAGAATGAAGCATTTATTGGGTGTAGTGTTTAATATATCATCCACATATACTTATGCAATGATGAACATGTTTCACCTCGATTCAAAGTCTGACAACATAACATATAAGTATTTTATATGTTACTAAATTTACGATAAGATAAATATATAGTATAACAATAGATTGTTTACCGTGGTTTGCGCTTTGATCTCTTCACCTGATAATAAGGATTGTCCATTTGCATCTTTGAGTGAGATGAAAACATCACGCAGGTCATCAGGCTCATTCCTCTTGCCATCTCTCCATTCTTGTAATCTCTCATTCACAATAGGCTCTTGATGCTTCTTGACGATGTTCATAGCCTTCCTTACCTTTTTCTCTTGCCCATCGATGTCAAAAACTCTAAGCCAAGGAAGATAATCAGATACGCAGAATGCATAGGCATAAGTGAGCAAAGTAAGAAGCCCAGAGACATGTTCTTCTTCTTCAACACCAGGCCCTCCATCCTCCCTCCCTTTGCCAAAGTACGTTCTGTTGAAAATCATCTTTCTCATGATACTTCCCGAGTAAAACTGGGCTGCAATTCTCACATTCACCACTGCACCATTTTGATTGGCTGAGCATTGGTTATACAGAAACTTAACCAGGTTATCAGCTTCTTCGTTTCTCTTACCAAGTAGCCAATGAACCCTAGACGGGTTGAACGCTTCAGCAACCAAAACCCTTCTCATTTTCCTCCACTGGTCTCCCCAAGGCCCAACCACTGTGGTCAAGTACCCGCTACTTAAAGTTTTAGTGGCCATAGTGACGGGTCTCGATGCGAAAACTGCATCATTTTTCTTCAAAAATTCCCTGACAATTTCTGGTGAAGTTACTGGGATGACATGGACATTTCCTAGGCGTATGCAGGCAATATCAGTGTTGAGTTTTTTCATGAGGCTGTGTGTGCTGGTCTGTTCCTCCACATTTCCGGCAAACAACCCACAATTGGCCATGGGCTTGGCCCTGGAGGGAGAGACACGACTGGGACGCTATTTTTGTTGTGGGTTTTGAGTATGAATTTGACAAGAAACATAAAAATAATGAAAGCAAGGGAAACAGAAATTGGAGGCGTGACTTCAGAATCTAAGAACAAATAAGGCAATGACATCTCAAACCCTAGTGATTAATGTGCTGCTGCTGAGCTTGTTATTGCAATGTTCTTGTTATATAAAGTGCTTTGGGCTTTCTGTGTTTGGTGTGAATTAGGCTATTAAAGACATGACTGCTCGACAGAAAATTGCATGCCTGAGAGAAGTTGGTAGAGATTTATGTCTAGCTAGATGGTTTGGATCCTAGCTACCTGCCTTTTCAAGTTACTTCAATTAGGCATATTTTGCCAACCCAATGAATCGACTTGACAAAACCCGGATTCCGATCAAGTGGGTTTTCGGGTTTGTTAAGTTGGATTATTAGTTTGATTTGTTTGCTACTTTAATACGTGTTAAGTTCTTTGTGAGGTGTAGATTTGAGATGATGTTTATACGGTTACAATTAGGGAGGCACTGTCAATAAAAAACAAGGGGCAGTAGTCACCTTTTCAAAGTATACAAGGAAAATTGCAATTGGAGTGTTCATGATTTAGATTCAGAGAGAATATGGAACTGCTGCAGGTAGTGTTAGTCGTGGTTTTATTGTTCTATCTCAATACTTCCTCTTATAGAAATGTGAGACTTCCTCTTATAGAAATTTTTATATAATTCAGTGTCACTAATCTTTTCAGCTTTTTAATCTCTCCAGAAATGTTAACCACACTTTATAATCATTTTGCTTATTTTCATTAATATTATTGCTTCAATTTGGTGTCTTCTACAACATGATCGATTGATGCATATGACTGTCGGCATGATCTTCCTAATAACATGATTGATTGATGCGCCTTGCTGTCCATCCTGCTGCTGGATGTCCATCCTTCCAAATAAATACGAGGACTACGTATCGAAATTGTCACCAATCAAAATTGCAAATGGTGATAAATGAGTTGCTAATAATAATGTGGATCCTTCTGTCATACAAAATCCCTGCTTTTTGCATTATTGAATGGAGAGTGGAAGCGTGGTAGAGGGTGGCAATTCTAATATCATAATAAGAATAAAATCTTTGTGTTATATTTTTTTTATTTGTTTAAATACCCTTTTGAGTTATTCATGGTGGGCTTCTTTAGAGGCAGCAGGCCCAACTCTGAACATGAGCAGTCAATGCGACCCCCCTAGGTCCATTATTCAGGGGATACAATTTTTATTTTTATTTTTATAAGTGTTATATTATATTATTATAAACTGATTTAATATTTTTGAGGAAAAAAAAGAAAAAGGAATAGCATACTAAACTCACACACAATACACGAATGCTATGACTCGAATCCATGACATTTCTTGGTGAAGCATTTGCTCTAAACCACTACATTAGTAGGTCATTTGCTCAAAATCAAGCTATTTAAGTGTAAATAAACAAACACAAGTAGATTCATTTTATTGTTTTCCTGAAATTTACAAGAATGTTAGGACTCGAACCCATGACCTTTTTTGGTGAAGCATTTCTTCTAAACCACTACACTACTGGGTCATTTACTCAAAATCGAGCTATTTAAGTGTAAATAAACAAACACAAGTAGATTCATTTTATTGTCTTCTTGAAATTTCCTATGGTTTCTTATTTTTGGTACTTCCTTTTCTCTCGTGTTGTTGAGTTATTGTTAAATCCTCAAAACATAGATAATCTTACTGATTTTATTACTTCTTCTTTTGAATTCTATTGGCATTTCATGGATGTAACTGTAGAAATGCTCTAAACTCTCTCTTGCCATACTCTCATCTAATCTTCTTGTATCCCGGCAACTAAAACAGATGCTATGGCAAATTGACCGACTGGGCTTGGGCCAACGTTGTGGCAAACTAATAGGTCCATCTGGTATGACAATTGGGAGCCCATTAAAACTTGAAGCCATGGACCGTGCATGGGTCCTCCAAAGCACTGTAAATAAAAAGTGGTACAAATAAATGAAGCGTAGGGACTTGGGAGAAGAAGAACAATGTTCAATTTTCACAAGCATAAAAGCTGACAATGCGGTCAGTCGGCAAACAAACTCTGAAAATGGTCAATGAAAGAGTAAAGACTGAAGATGAAGGGAGTGTTTTGCTGAGTCTGAGAGACAGGAGAGCACGGACTGTGTGAATGCTTCTCTTTTAGCAACCACACCATTCATTATATTTACTCACATTATCAACCCAACAGCCTTCCTCTTCTGACAATTTCCACAACCTCGGCCCTCTCTTGTCACTTTCAAGATTGAGCAACTTTTGCTTCCTATGTCTCCACTCTTCTTGTCCACACATAATTCTTTCTTCACGTACGTATGTATGTGTGTTTTTTTAGAGTGTTCGACAATAATTCAAAGTTTCACCTGCACCCAAGAAAAAGAGAAAATTACAGAAGCTACTTCAGCTTTTAGTCTCTATGGAGTTA